CAGTGTATGATATGAGGAGCTACTTAATAACAATCTGTGATAATGTTGTCCCAATGGAATTTTAGTGTATTTCAATTTATAATATATGTTCTTCCTAGTTTTGTAAATGCTCTTTAAAATTCTTACTCAGTATTAGCGTGTAAAAATAGTGCAGAAGTTTTCTTGAACTCAGTCTTGTCCTTCCTGTGGTATTGACATCAACCTCTCGATGCCTTGGATGTTGGGATCTGCAAACTAGCTTCTTTCTATAGCAAACAAAGTAATTTGAGGAAATTTGCCAAAAAGTTAGCCAGGAAAATTAAAATACACATTTAAAACCTGGAGTGTAACAATTTTTTCATTAAATTAACGAAAATGCAAAGTTTTTTATAAGTGTAACTTTAATCAAAACTGCACACATACGCATGCACGCACACACACTGTGTGCTATACCTTGCTATCTGATGAGAAACAGAATAAGTTATCTGTTCCAATGAATTGAAATGTAGACTATGTCTTATCAATATTTTATATGTCAAATGGTAATTTTAAAATCAGTTTTTTAGAAAGCTATCATCAACTAACCAGTCTCTATGCTAGCATCAAGATTGTGAAAAATAGAGCTGGGGATTTAGCTCAGTGGCACCACCCCTGCCTCGCAAGTGCAAGGTCCTGAGTTGGATCCCCGGAACCCCCCCCAAAAGAAAGAAAAGAAAGATTGTTAATAATTAAAAGAAATATAAGTGTTCAATGACTGTAGTTGGGAAAATGTAGCTTCCCAAAATTAGAGAATAAAAACTTTCCCTGTGACCATTAGGAAGTATATTCTTATTCTTAACAAAGTTGGAAAAGAACACTTAGTCTATAATTTTGCAAGGAAGATAACAGCATTATTAAACTTTTGTTAAATTTTTCTTTAATTTTTAAAGCATTTTCACATTTTCAGGAAAATATTCTATCTGTTGTTGAGAATTATTTCTAGGGGATTTAGCTCAGGAGTTCTGCTGCCTGCCTCGCAAGTGCAAGGTTTAATATCTGGTATTAAAAAAAAAAGTTCTGAAAATGGGATTATCAGATTATTTAGAAGGCAAAGAATATTCTAGTAAAAAAACTGTTGACACCAATGATAGTCTCTAATCTTTACAAGTGATGTCAAATGTGGATAGTTTCCCAAAAATATAATAATATTAAAACAAGTAATAGAAAAATTAGAAATTAATTACATTGTGGGTTTTTAATTATAATTTAATATATATCCGTATTTTATATTAATAAAATATGTTACTAGACTTACCTCACATGATAAATCAAATCCTAGATGATCAATGATATGCTGAAGTGGCATCTTTGGTCTTTATCAATTTGACTGTAAGATGGGCATCACTGTTGAACCAAAATGTAATTGGAATTATTCTCTTGATTTGGCTTCTTATTTCACTCTTTTACTTGGTCAATATTACTGAGCTCATTTTAAGTGTATGGCTTACCATTGTTGCAGAAGGTAGGCCACAACTCTTCTCATGGAGCCACAGAGATAGACCAAACTGACAAACAGGCTCATTGTGATTGTGCATGGTGTGAGAAGTATGCAGAGAATTCTGATGGGGAGCTAAAGAGAACTCTCTCTCTCTCTCTCTCTCTCTCTCTCTCTCTCTCTCTCTCTCTCGTCTCTCTCTCATATGATAGCAGTGACTATTGGTCATTTTCCAGGAAATCAGCATTCATACTCTATTTATTTATTTATTTTTGGCACTGGGGATAAAACTCAGGACCTTGCATTTGTGAGGCAGGCATGGTACCACTGAGCTAAATCTATGGCTTTCATATTTATTTTAGAAGAAATTTCAAGGCCTGGAGTTATGCTAAAATTTTACGTATAAGTTTGGCATCTTCAGCAGTCCATTTACTGTCCAGGTTAATTTTTAAATGTAAAAATTAGCTAGTATTTTATAGTTCAGTGTCCTACTTAAGATTTTTTAAGAAAGAAAATTTGAGGTGTGAATGTTTTCCTTGTGCTACATTAACATACAGACTTGAAATCAATTCACATTTATATTTTCTGATTTCAATAAGAAAGTATTCATTTTTTTAATTAATGGAACACAGTTATAATAACATGTACAATTAAGTATTTTTCAGTGCACATTTGATATAAAATTCTTCGTCATTATTTTGAGCATAAAAGACTAACTTCTAGTAGCCTGTATTAGTCACTTTCTCTTCTCTCCAGTTAAACACCTGAAAGCAACAACTAAAAAGAGAACAGCTTCAATTTGGATCACATTTTCAGAGGGTGCAGCGGCAGACACACAATGGTGTGAAAGGCACAGTAAAGCCAAACTACACAACCCCCAGCAGCCAGGAACTAGTGAGAGAAGGGAGGGCAAGCAGGAGACCAAAATACATTTTCCTCGGTCACAGCCACCGTGACACACTTCTCCCCACGGGGCCCCGGGCCTAACAGCACATTCAGCGATGAACTTATCAAACAATTGATCTGTGGCCACCTGATCCAGCAGATTTCCAGAAGTCCCTCCTCTGAACTTGTGAGGGCTTTTGGAGACATTTTAGACTTAAATGATAGCATAGCTCCTATCTGTTTATATCAGTCTCATTGCATAGTTAATTTCAACAATGAAAAACAATAACATATTAAAATTTTTAAATTGCATTTGGGATTTAGACTCTGGGTTAGTATAAAACAGATAATATATTTTGAAATTCAGATGTAATGGTAGGTACTGTGCTCCTAACTTGAGAGTTTAATTTAAATACGTCTTTGTATACTGTGTTTAGGGTGAAAGATTAGGATCATTAATTTGTTCAAAGACAGGAGGGAAATGAAATAAATATTGAAGATGTATGTATGGAATTAATTCTTATCTTTATGGAAATTAATAGATATATTTTATTGAGAAGCATCTTAAATTTTGTAATTTCAGAATTGAATGCTTAGCAATTCTCTAAGAAAGAATTACTAGTTTTTTAATATATGTATTTTTCTTTGACAAAATAAAAATAATATTAAGATAACATCAGCTATATACTGATAGATGCAACAAACCCACTGGCTCTTACAGGCTTATAAAGCATTGATATCAACACTCTAAAAAGACTGTTTCCCTAAATGTATTATAAATTCCTTATTCTGTAATTCTTTACAGATAAACTTTTTAATGCAATAATGTGAGAATGCCAAATATCCAATACTTGTTTTCAATGCAAAAATTATTAGTTAGTGCAATCTTTGCAATAGTTCTCTTTTCTATCTACAACTTGATCATACCATTTGTAAGGAACATAACATAATCAAAATTTATATTTACTTCTTGTTAAACTTTTAAATTACCCACTTTTCATTCTTTTGAGGTTTCTTGGATGGAAACTTTATTTCTCATTGAGTTTACTGGTACATTTTTAGGTACACAGTACACTTACATTCATCATTGGGATCTTATACCTTTACATGACAGGTCTTGGTTCTCATTTTTTCCCCTGCCCTCCCTTCACCCCCTCCTCCCCTCCCTATTTACAAAAACTTTATTTCCATTTTCTCATTTTCTTATATTTTTTCTTTTCCCTTATTTCCTTTCCCCTACCCTTCCCACTTCCTCCAGACCTTTAGCCCTTTTCTTCCTATCTCACAATGTTAATTATACAGTTTCTCTAGTGTGAAGAACAAGTGTAAATAAGATCCAAATGGTATAAAACATTTTTCATTTTAATTCTGTATAGACTAATACTGTTGTGCACAGTAGAAAATATCTAAACCTTAAGCTCTAAAATCTAGGCTATATTATAAGTCTGAAAGAATTGACCTAAACTCTAGAATAATTCTGTTATTTATTCAAGATATGAACTTGGCAAATCAGCTCTCCTTCACTGTCTCCTGTTTTTCTTAGCTTCTGGAGCCAAAATTTTATGCGTAAGCTCCTTATGAATAAAAAAAATAGAGTTATGAGAATAGAATCAATAATGAAGGAGGAAGGCAGCAGCACATGTGGTGAGGAAGAAAAGGACCCTAGAAAGCACCACCTCTCCTCTCTCTTCCCTAAGACCTGTGGAAGCCAGTCTCAGGTACCAAATTCCTCAGATCCGTGGAACACGCTTAGAAAATCGTGTAGCTTCTTCACAACTCTAAAATATAATTCTCAGTTTGTTAAAGTGTTCAAAATCATACCATCTACTTAGAAAAGTAAGTAATACGGCAAATATAAGTTCTCTCTTCTGTTCTAAAGAGTTCCGTGGTTAACTATCATATGAAAACCGTTGACTTTACTATTCCATGAAACAACACTATAACATGAAATAGTTCAAATTTAGAAAATGAATATGTTGAGTAAGCCCCAAATAACTTCTCAACAAAATGTTCTGAATTTAAATTCCTTAGTTGTCTCTGTGCCTCAATGGGGAAAATGAGAAAAAATTAATTTTTTGGAAAATTTAAAAGCAGAATGTGCTTAAATGAAGATTTTCACTTTTCGGCTTTGGTCCCTAGACTCCATCAGCACACACAATATACGTCTATGAGACCTTTGCCATCACAGGTTACAGAACAATAAAAAATGAGGGGAAGGAGGGCATGTTCTACACAACAGATGATTGCTCAAGAAAAGGCCGGAGGAGAAGTCACCTGTCACGAGGGGCTGTTTTCTTTGCCAGTTACTAAAATGAAATTGATAAGTGTGAGGCAGAAGTAATGGGTTTTCACTGTGATTAATTTCCAATGTCCTTTATGAACAAGGATTTCTGACTCTATAAAACACAGGAAAGAAATGATAGCAAACTTTTACTAATCCCCAAAGCATCCAAAGGGAAATGGCCCCAGCAGTTACTGTATATAGACACCGTGATACAGTTCTCCTTTTGTAAAAATATCGAGCGAAGATCATTACTTCCTGACACTCTCTTAGAGTGGCACTTCAGGGAAGTTCCTCACTAGGTCTCAGATGCCTTTCAGGAAGGTGAAGTCGCCTGTCCTTTCCTTGTGGTAGCTCTGCTAACTCTTGTGTCATTCGCAGGTCCGTGGGGCCGGTGCATGGGAGAGGAGTGTGGCCCTGGAGGCATCCAGACCCGGGCTGTGTGGTGCGCGCATGTGGAGGGCTGGACCACGTTGCACACCAACTGCAAACAGGTCGGGAGGCCTAATAACCAGCAGAATTGTTTCAAAGTGTGCGACTGGCACAAAAAGTTGTACGACTGGAGACTAGGGCCCTGGAACCAGTGCCAGCCAGTGATTTCAAAAAGCCTGGAGAAACCCCTGGAGTGCACGAAGGGGGAAGAAGGCATTCAGGTGAGGGAGATCGCGTGCATCCAGAAAGACAAAGACCTACCGGCCGACGACACCATCTGCGAGTACTTTGAGCCCAAGCCCCTCCTGGAGCAAGCTTGCCTCATTCCTTGCCAGCAGGACTGCATCGTGTCAGAGTTTTCCCCGTGGTCCGAGTGCTCCAAGACCTGCGGCAGCGGGCTCCAGCACCGCACACGGCACGTGGTGGCGCCGCCCCAGTTCGGAGGCTCCGGCTGCCCCAATCTGACAGAGTTCCAGGTGTGCCAGTCCGGTCCGTGCGAGGCCGAGGAGAGCATGTATAGCCTCCAGGTGGCGCCCTGGAGCACGTGCTCCCTGCCTCACCTGAGACCAGCCAGACAAGCCAGGAGGCGGGGCAAAAATAAAGATCGGGAAAAGGACAGAGGCAAAGGAGTCAAGGACCCAGAAGCCCGGGAACTTATCAAGAAAAAGAGAAATAGAAACAGACAGAACAGACAGGAAAACAAATACTGGGACATCCAGATTGGATATCAGACCAGGGAGGTTATGTGTATTAACAAGACGGGAAAAGTTGCTGATTTGAGGTAAGGTTTATTTACACTGACAAGTCTGTCTAGACCATGCATACTTGAGACACTACTGTACTAACTCCTGCCTCAAACCTGGGAAATGCTTTCACACTGAGCTACAACCCCACCCATGCCCCTTTGTTATATATTTTACTTTCAGACAAGATCTCCCTAAGTCACTAAGATGCCCAGACTTCCCTCAAGATTGCGATCCTCCGTCCTCACCCTCCCAGACTGCAGGAACATACCACCACACCTAGCACAAGCAGGCTCTGTAAGGGTAGGAGTCTCAGTCTGGTGCATTAATTATTTTATGAACAACACTGTTTAATACTAAATTAAATTAAATATTAAAACCTAGTACAACATATCCTCAAATTGAAAGCTTTTGAGTTTTGTGGGATTCTGGATGCTTCTATTTAGCACACTTTTCTTAAGTTTATTTAAATATTTCAAAGTCTAATGCTGGAAAATTCCCCACGAGAAGATACTGTTCCTTTAGATCAGTGCTGCTGTTTCTCCCTACAATGACAGAAAACAAAGACAAACAAACAAGAACACATTACTTAGAGGCAGAAGTATTGGGATTTTGAATTCAGATACTTATTTTAGCAAGTAAATAGAATAAAGCACACTTGTAATCTCTCCAATTTTATAGTATTTTCAGAATTACCTTATAAACAAAATATGCTCTAAACAACAACCTAGGGAGCTATACCTAAGAATAATTCTCTTGTACATTTTATATCATGGAGTAACTCTCTAGAGAAGAAGACAGGAGCCACCAGAAACTAAGGTAAGCAGAGGGTATTTAATCATAAGCGGCCTGGCTTAGAAAACATAATTAATTGGCTGCATTTCCTAGGTGGAAATTATTTAACCAATTATCTTTGGGTACATAATGACTGCGTTATAAAAGACTACCTCATGTATGATGTATTTGTTGTGAAAATAATATTCATTGAGGATTATCCAAAGGATACGATGTTCTTTGGACCTTCTAAATTTTGCTCTTGGATAATCCAGGCCATCTGGGAGTGGCTTATGTCAATTACTTGCATAATTGTCTCTTCTGAAATATTTAAGAAGTTATGATCTGGACTGAACTGAAGAAATTATATGATCATTACTCAGAATTTTATATTACATTTATTGTAGAAATGACATTGAAAGTGTCATATACTTTATCATGCAGTCTCTTCTCTTGATTAAAAGTGTAAGATAAATTTCACTGAAGTTTCAACCCATATGCTTCTGGTGAACAGCTGGATTGTTTTACTTATGGCTTCTGGAAATCTTGTAATAGCACATTTTTCTGTTTACTTTGGCTGTTGAGAACCTAACTAGGTATGTTGTTTACTGATACATTCCTCTAGCTTTATTTTCTTTCTCACCCTCTCTATTCCTCTCTCTTGTCTACTGATTTTGCTATGTAGGGATTTTGCAATATATTCAAAAGCCTCTTTGGAGTAGGATACAGTTTAAATAAATGACTAAACAAAAATTAATGATTAATCTATGACAATAGCTTCCTTTCATAATAGCATTGTTCTAGTTGCTATTTTTAGGGTGTTGGCTACTCCTTCCCTTCTTTGTACTTGTACAATTATCTTTAATTTCGGTTGGACAGTAATTTGCTCTTTCTCCATTCCAGTGTTGCCTTCCCAACTTTCCTGGTCTTGTTAATGGCTGTTTTTTTTCTGTCTTTATCCTCTAGGTTTCTCACTCCTTAACAGAGTGTGTGTGTGTGTGTGTGTGTGTGTGTGTGTGTCTGTGTGTGTGTGTATCTCTGATTTGGTATTACATATATCCTCAATTAAGTCCTTATTCTTTTCTAACTATCTTTGGTTATTTCCTGACCTTTTTATTTTTTTAAAGTCTTGCAGTTTTATTATTTACTTGCCTCCCACCAAGTAATTGAATGAGCCTTGCAAGGCAGCTTGCTTTGCCTTCTGTTGTCATTGGCTTAGAATGCAGGAGACATTTAATTTCATGTTGACTACTCAGTTAAAAGTGTGATTCGGTTGGTACTTATCTCTACATAGAATCTAATATTCTCATCCAGTTGTTTGAATTAGGAAACATAGTTGAAAACATGGAGATTATCAGGTTATATCCCATTAGAAATGCCATGTTTAAGTAGTCCAGTAAAATGACAGTTATGAATATGTTCTGATTTACTAAAGTATAAACAATTATATTTGATTATTAATATTTATCTTTAATATGAATAATCATATGTGTGATTGAGAAGGTTAAGGTCCTAGTGAAGAAGTGACAAAAAATCTTTTATTTTGACTGTATCTTGCTCAAACATTACATTACGATATCAGTGAACCTAATAAAATCAGTAGAATTAGCAAAGCACAGGGCCACAAATCAAGGATTTAATGAGCAAATTTAAATTTTTTATCATGTAGGAAGCTAAAAGAATCATTAAATAAAGGCAAAAATATCCTTTTACAGTAACTGAATGATTTTAGCTAGGTAAACCTAAGAATCCTTGAAAAACTGTTCATAGACAAATAAAGAATTTAAGAATTATTGCTAAAATATTCAAATTAAAGATGGTAGATCTGTTCTGATTTCTGTTTTCAAGCAGACAGAAATCAATTAGAATGAAAACCATGAATGAAAGGAGATTCTTTTGTGAAAACGAAGACAGTCACAGTCCCAAACCACAGTTGATGCCAGAGATTTTTCAAGGTTAAAATTAGATCTGCCTGAGGAAGGAAATCAGGAGGGATATTGTGTCTTATTAGCTTTTATGGCATTATGAGCAGAGCCTGATCTTTTTAAGGGGCCAAGCCAATGATGCCTCACCTTCTGAGGTGACATAGGATGGATCAGTGGAAAAGACTGGGGGCACATTATTGAGTTCTGTTTAAATCTAAGTGGTAGATTAGGCAGAACTGAGCAAGGAAACCCACTCCGCCACTATTGACAACTGAAGACTATGAGCTTGAGAGGCAAACGGAGTATGTTTTGACAGTGGAAAGGAATTCTGAATCTCACCCTACAGAAGGAGCATACTGGTTATCAGTGACTTGTAGGCAGGTTTGTAAATAGAATCTTACCTAGACCAAGAGTTGACATAAAAGTTCAGCACACATTTCTCTAGGAAACCAGAGCTATTAAAGAAATACAGTTTTCTGGTTCCTCCAAGCAGCAAACGGACTAGTAAGGAGCTGAACCGAGTGGAGCTGAGCTGCAGTACCACCCCAGTGCCATTCCCTCCCACCCCTCTACCCCAGCCTCTGGCCTCCTGGCTGTGCCAGTGTCTGGATACACACTGCAGAAGCACAGGGCATACTAAGGGCCACTGTCCTGAGATCCAGAAGATAGAGCAGAAGTGAACAACAGGAAGAGGCCTCTCTCAGGCTTCCTGATGAAAATTGGAAAAGTGAAGAGAATCTCTGCAATTAAGGCACACCAGACAACTGTAGTTGGTAAGTTGGAGGAATCAGCACCTCCCATCACAACCTGGACTATCTTCAAGGGAGGGGCAGCTAGAACCTGCAGTAGAACCTTGCAGAGTTCAACCCCGTGGAAGGTCGGGGGCTCACTTTGGTCTTGAAGCCAGAAATCAACCTGAGTCTCAGGGGTCTGCTACGGGCTTGCTGAGACTAATTGACTTAGTTAGATCTGCACACTGCTGCCCATGTTGTCTATTATGACAGCAGAGACATACTCTGAAGAAGACCCTTCATTTTTATTTTTAAATTTTAAAATTATTTTTAATTTAATTTTTTCTACTCTTCAATTTTTTCTTTCTTTTTTCTACTTTTTTCTTTTCTTTCTCTCTCTCTCACTCTCTTGCTGTCCCACATTATTCTTCATCTCCATGTTTGTTCCTATTCCTGCCTAATTCAGATTTCTTTTTCCTTTTTCTCTTCTTCTCTGTTTTTCCTTCTCTCAGTTGTCATTAGTTTCAAAGAAAAGTGAATACAGTTATAACTTCTCTATTGCTGTTAGGTTGTACTTCTCTTGTCTTTGTTCTTTCATTCGGTCTTTTCCTCTGGTCTTCAATATCCTACAGTTTGTGTGATCTTCCTGTGTCCTCTGTCCTCACTCCTAACCTTTCCCTATCCTTCTAAATATCTATCCCTCCCTTCCCAACACTTTCTAAGCCCCCATTCTGAAGGCTGAAGTTGCTATATTGAAGAGTTTGTTCATTATAAAATATTTTAGGGTGGTCTGCGATTTTGATATAATTCAAATGTTAAAGGTGATAGATTAATAACTACCACAATTATCATTTTCTAAGCTGTTGCTGTTGTATTGCTGATTGTATCACTTGGACTAAGGTGTTGTGATTGATCTAATCAGTTGTCCTTCCTGGTATAATGAAAATGAGTTATTTCAGAGTCATTAGAGACTCAAAACCAAAAGACCAGCTATATCTGGAAATAAGGTTGTGATTGATCTAATCAGTTGTCCTTCCTGGTATAATGAAAATGAGTTATTTCAGAGTCATTAGAGACTCAAAACCAAAAGACCAGCTATATCTGGAAGACACCTATGAGAAGCAATCATTCCATAAAGTCTCTAAATACAAGTAACAAAGATACTTACAATAAGCAATATTAAATTATATCAACCCAGGAAAGAAACTAAGGACAGTACCAACAACAAAAATAGAAATGAATCCCAATGATGACTATAACTGTACCTTATACCTAAAAAGTACCAATAAACTCAATGAAAAAAAAATAGAAATGAGATGACATTTAAGCAAACACTAACACAAACTTCCAGATCACCAAAGGCAAATTCTGTGAGAAACTAGGTGGAAAAGTCTGATAATCAATCACCTTAACACCCTGAACTGATAGCGCAGAAAGTAACAAAATGGATGAATGAGGTTCTAGAAAAGTTCAAAACAGAAATAATTTCCCAGATAACTACAGAGATGAACAGAATGAAAAACATGATTAGAGACTCTAGAAGAGAGCCGAAAAAACAAAAACAAAACAGGAGTTCAGGACTATGATGGAAGCCATGAATGCCCAGAA